AAATATTATACGTACACTTATACGTACACACACACACACACAGTCTGGTTCACTATTCTTGTAGGGACTCTCCATAGGCGTAATGGTTTTTATACTGTTCAAACTGTATTTTCTATCACCCTACACCAACCCTACACCTAAACCTACCCCTCACAGGAAACTTTCTGCATTTTTACATTATCAAAAAAACTAATTCTGTATGATTTATAAGCTTTTGTACACATGGAGAGACCTCAATCTAGGTCCCCACGGTGACACAAGTCCCCATGAGTTGGTGTGTATTCAGGTTTAAGTCCCCACTAGTGTAGAAAAACCTGTACACATACACACACACACACACACACACACACACACACACTAAACTGTCCCTAAACAGTTAAATATTAGCTTGTCTCCAGCCTAGTTTGAGCGTAACTAATGAAACAACTAAATCAGCAATGTACACAATATAGCTGGTCCAAGTGGCCTGTCACCAAACTGGGATGTGAACTATCGCACAATAATATCAAAACACTTTGACAACATAATTGTATTTTAAAATCATAGACGCTCAAGACAAAAGCGCAACCATGACGACAGATCTGTCGCGCTTACCGTACAGATGGATCTGATAGTACTGAAAGCAAGTGAAGCAGAATAGGGCGGAACGCAGTGAGCTTTGGTGCTAACGTTACACCATGTCCATTAACCAACTGTCCAGTAAATCTGACTAATCTCAACCTAGAGGGATCCGCTACTACATTCCCCGAGAATCAGCCCGAGGGGAAGATGTCAGCCCTTTTTTCCCTGCCCTGTACTCTATACTGCTCAGATTATGTCCGCAGCTTGATTCTCTTTTCCATTTACGTCACCGAGTCGGAAACCCCGCCCACTGACGTCACCTCGAAACGGAAATGGACTCGCTTCTCATTGCCAGGAACAAAGTTCTGTTTAATAAGACACGTCCTTCGAATGTATATTCAAAATATTTTGTGTATTATTATTACTACAAAATATTATACGTACACACACACACACACACACACACACACAGTCTGGTTCACTATTCTTGTAGGGACTCTCCATAGGCGTAATGGTTTTTATACTGTTCAAACTGTATTTTCTATCACCCTACACCAACCCTACACCTAAACCTACCCCTCACAGGAAACTTTCTGCATTTTTACATTATCAAAAAAACTAATTCTGTATGATTTATAAGCTTTTGTACACATGGAGAGACCTCAATCTAGGTCCCCACGGTGACACAAGTCCCCATGAGTTGGTGTGTATTCAGGTTTAAGTCCCCACTAGTGTAGAAAAACCTGTACACATACACACACACACACACACACACACACACACACACACACACTAAACTGTCCCTAAACAGTTAAATATTAGCTTGTCTCCAGCCTAGTTTGAGCGTAACTAATGAAACAACTAAATCAGCAATGTACACAATATAGCTAGTCCAAGTGGCCTGTCACCAAACTGGGATGTGAACTATCGCACAATAATATCAAAACACTTTGACAACATAATTGTATTTTAAAATCATAGACGCTCAAGACAAAAGCGCAACCATGACGACAGATCTGTCGCGCTTACCGTACAGATGGATCTGATAGTACTGAAAGCAAGTGAAGCAGAATAGGGCGGAACGCAGTGAGCTTTGGTGCTAACGTTACACCATGTCCATTAACCAACTGTCCAGTAAATCTGACTAATCTCAACCTAGAGGGATCCGCTACTACATTCCCCGAGAATCAGCCCGAGGGGAAGATGTCAGCCCTTTTTTCCCTGCCCTGTACTCTATACTGCTCAGATTATGTCCGCAGCTTGATTCTCTTTTCCATTTACGTCACCGAGTCGGAAACCCCGCCCACTGACGTCACCTCGAAACGGAAATGGACTCGCTTCTCATTGCCAGGAACAAAGTTCTGTTTAATAAGACACGTCCTTCGAATGTATATTCAAAATATTTTGTGTATTATTATTACTACAGTTCAGTGACAAACACGGAAAATTATTTAAATAAGGTGATCTAAAACAGTGGGACTGGGGTCCAATATGTTTTTAAATTATTTAAATGTACATTAATGTATTCTTATTTAAATTGCTAGAAACACTAAAAAAAACAAAACAAAGACGTACAACGTTAAACTTACATTATTTTGAGTTTATTATTATTTCAACCATAGAAACTTATTAGCCTATTAGACAGGAAGGCCTAATAATTTTCTTGGAGGGTTTAGAACAACTGATTTAAAACTCTTAGCTTCTAATACAAACAATATATATAGAAAGTGTATATTCTTGAAATAGGTTTAATTCTAGGGTTCCCACACTTTTGACCAAAAGGTTTTCTCTGATTTTTCCAGTTGTCTGTGATTATAGTATAAACATTTTTTAAAAACATTTATGGTTTTTGATTCAGAACATTTCACTGAATCATTCAAACCAGTATGTGAGCCAGGTTGACAGATATATTGAGAAAAAATATATATATTCAATACGCACGTAAAAAAAACGTTAAAAAAAAAACTGCTTAAAAGCACTATCTAGCAATATTGATTAAACATTTTAAATCAGAGCATATCGAGAAAACAAATGTTTATAAAAATTTCCATGACATGTCTAGATTTGGAAAAACCAATTTCAAAATTCCCTGATCTGTCTAGGTTGTCTATGACCAGGGGAACCCTGTAATGCACGTCATACCCTGTTCAGCGGATGCACTAAGAAATCACTTCCCTTTTTTTTTTTTTTTTTGCTCTCAATTATTATCATTGTATTTTTGTCTCACAAACTTCTGAAAAGGTTTTCAAAGTAACACCCAATTAAGAAGAGGATGTAAAATCCAGCACTGGGACAGTAATACAGAAACACAAAGAATCGACCTCGTCATGTAAGGTAGTAGAAAATAGTCTCCCATGTTTATTGGAGGAAATCAACTGGGTTTCAGTTAAATCTGTGTTCATTACAAAACACATTCACTACATGGCATGATCAAAATAAACATCTGAGACACTTCCAGCTCCCCCTTTCCCCCATCCATTATTTTCACATCTGGATGGGAGAAACTGGATTTCATACAGCTGCAGAAAAAAGAAAAAAAAGTGCACAAGTAAATTAATGACTCAATTCAGGACATTAATTAATAAATATTAGCTAAGCAATTAATAAAAAAAAAGCTTTTTCCATTCAGCAATTAAACCAAGCATTCACATGACCTCTACTGGATCTCATGCATTACTACAAGATCTACCAGAAAGTCTTAAGAATGATCACATTTCACTCTGGAAATAGTGAACTAGTGCAAATGACATAACCATACCTTTTTACAGGTGTCTGGTTAGAGCAAAACATGCTTTCATTATATAGAAGCTTATAACCAAATTAATTAGTATTAAAACTTCTATATTATTTTAATCAATGAGGCATTACAATAAGCTTGGGTTCACCATTCAGCGTTTAATATTTCATAGGTTTTTTTTGTCAAAAGAGTTCCGTTACCCATTGTACAATAGCCAGCAGATGAATCAAAATCATGTCTAAAGACAAACTCACAAGACATAAAGGGAATCAAATAGGGTTTATAATGCATACAAGAAAAGAGTGGATGTAGAGATGATTCAGACAAAATAAACAAGATCTTTACAGGTAGCAGCAGAGAAGGCAGCAAGGATGGAGGCAAAGACGAGGTTGGGGGACTGAGAAGCATCAACAGCAGTGTGGAGGCCGCGGGCACTGTAGTACTGCACTAGAGGGGCCGTCTGCTTGTGATAGGACTCTAGTCGGGAGCACAGAGTGGTCTCGTTGTCATCACTGCGGCGAATAAGAGGCTCCCCAGTCACCTGTGGATATATGGATCAAACCAAACCTTTACAACAATGCTCATAGCTGCCCTGCTAATAAGAACAACACGGTTTTTGTTTTCTCACATCATCCTTCATTGGCTCTTTGGGAGGGTTGAACTCTTCATGGTAAGATCGGCCACTGGGCTGGTGAATGAGCCTGAGGAATGAAATGAATTATGTTCAGCAAAGTATATTTATTTTGTTACTGTACTTTAGTACATGTTCAGGTATCTGTACTTTTTATTTTGAGAAACTTTTACTTTACTACATTTCAAACTAGCATAAAATCATACTTTTTACTCTACTGCATTTCATAAAAAACATAGCGTTCCTCATTCTCTTGAACTGAATAAATTGCCACCCGCTCTGAGTGGCGTTACTTAGGCCAAAATTTAGTATCGTTTATTGTAAAATAAAATCATATAGAGGTTATGACAGCCTATTCAAATGCTTGAATGTGGACTTGAATGCAATAATAATAAGAAAGGTTTCTTGAATAGCAAACCAGCTTATTAGAATGATTTCTGAAGGATCATGAGACACTGAAGACTGGAGTAACGGCTGCTGAAAATGAAGGAAAATAATGCTAATAATGCCCATGCATCTTCCCGCTGATGTAGCAGTTTCAAATGGTATGAAACTCAAATATTTGCATAGCGTTCCTCTTAAAATGTGAACACATTTTTCCACATGTGATGTCTGTACACTGTATTTTTATACTATTTATTGCCATATATTTGCACCAATTTTTTAAAATACTATATGGCATCCTTTTACATGTTTGCACACGCCATACATTTGTGTAACTCACACTGATATTTTAGTATATTTAAATGTAATGTTTTTATACTGTATAGTATTTTTTGGATAACAATTTTTGCTTATTTGCAGATCAATAAATAATAAATGTCTGCACTAATCTTTCTTATTAGTGCTGACTAATCTGTCTAGTGCAGGCTAGAATTAATAAACATGGCTGGTTATTGTGCTTTTACTCAAGTACTTGATTTGTGTATTTTCTCCACTACTGTTTGTTAAATTTAAACAAGAGTCTCACTGTCATGCTTTACAATTAAAAGCAAGGAGGAAGTAAGGAGGCACACTTCCTTTTTAAGCTGCAATCAAAACTACTCAAGGAAAAATTTCCTGCCACCACCTCCATTAAGGATAACAGAAACAAAAGTGTTTGACAGCTACTATGCCCTACCTAAAAAACATGTCTTCTCTTATTCCAGAAATGAGTGACATCTTTTCAGTATATTCCTTATTCATTCAATTAAACTGAGCTAATAGAAAGCATTAGTGGTAGTGGGCTACTACACAATGCTTTCAATTTACAGGACCCTTCATCTTTATACCTCCCACAGATCCTGCGCACTAGCAGAGAGTCATCAACAGAGAATTCAACCACAGAGTCCAGTTTCTCATCACGCTTCTCCAAAAGGCCGTCCAGCTAGAAATGAGAAAGAGAGAGATACAGGTTGACAGATGCATTATTGTGATCAGAACTTGGCGACAGAGGATTCTGCACCCTTTTTATTATTAAAGATTACAGATGTATCACAGACACATATGGAGGGTCAGTTGTTTACAGAAGTCCTCACCATTTCTGCTTGCTTGACGGTGCGGGGGAAACCGTCCAGCAGGAATCCATTCTTGCATGCAGGCGCGTCCAGGTTGTTTTCAATGAGCTCCACCACCATCTCATCACTCACCTAAAGGAAAGATGACAAAACTTTCAAAAGATTCAGGACTTTATCCCTCCAACCAAAAATACACATTGGGGAGGAACAAATATTAAAATATATAAAAACTAGAACATCTATTAATTTTACCAGTTTGCCGGCATCCATGGTTTCCTTAAGCCGCTGACCGAGCTCTGAGCCAGATGCCACCATGGCCCTCAGCATGTCCCCAGTAGCTAAATGACACACACAGTACTTCTCTGCAAGCTTGGGTGCCTGTGGAGGCCGAAATGAAAAAAAAAGAAAAAAGGAATTAACCCAGAAACAACAACAAAATGATCAGAGACATTACATAAAATAACATTTAAAATATAAGGAAAGCCAAACGCTTCTTCATCTAACAACCTGTCATGAGGAACAATTAATCCATATACTTAAAATTTATGTGCAACATTTGTCTTGAAATAGACAAATAAAACAAAAAACAACCATTCAAAAAATTGGGGTCCGTAAGATTTTTTTAAAGATAGAAATTAACGGCTTTTTCAGCAAGTATGCAATAACATTGATCAAATGTGACAGTAAAGACTTTTACACTGCTACAAAAAGTCTATAAAAAAAACACTGTTTTGACTTTTCTATTCATAAAAGAATTAAAAAGAAATATGTATCACAGTTTCCACATAAAAATATTAAGCAGCACAACTGTTTTTAACATGGATAATAATAAGAAATGATTTTTGAACTGCAAATCAGTATATCAGAATGATTTCTGAAGGATCATGTGACACTGAATACTGGAGTAATGACGCTGAAAATTCAGCTTTTCCGTCGCAGGAATAAATTACATTTTAAAATATATTAAAATAGAAAACAGTTACTTAGAATTGTAATAATATAGAGCAAATAAATGCAGTCTTGGTGAGCATAAGAGACTTCTTTTGAAAACCAATGGTAGTGTTTGTATGAACAAAACTATAAAACCAATTACTATTCTGCTGCTGCAACCACATTCATAAGCACAAGTTTTAATGGTTTTACTGGCATTCAAAATGTGCAGCAAATATTGCTTAATAACAGCAAGCAGTAATACAAACCAAGCTGACTGATCTGTAAGCTGATGAGCCTATTCTTTATGATCTGTTGAGTGAGTTACACTGTCACCCAACAGGACAGAAAGGTCTACAACTTTCCCAGTGGTCAACAATTCACGAGTATTATTTGTCACATCAGCTAAACTGAGTGACATGGATATTAAATAATCATTCCATATTTGAAATGAATGAATAATCTGATCAGAAAGCATCCGATAAAGCCCAGGGCAACAGGTGTTAAAGAGACAGGAACACTTAGTGACGGTTTAAATGGTATAACGTTTGGTTTAGTACAGTTAAACCCAAAATGTATATTCTGACGTCATCTGTTCAAACTCATGTAATTCCAAACCTGTATGGTTTATTTCTTCAGTGGAACAAACACACACACACACACACACACACACACACACACACACAACATTCACCTTCACTCCAGTCCATAGAAAAAAAGACGTAATTAAAGTGAATGGTGACCGAAGCTGACATTTAACATTAACATTCTAGCATTGTGTCTACATCATTTCACTGAAAAAATAATTCCATACCGGTATGTAATAACATGAGGGTATGTAAATGACGACAGATTGTTTTTTTGGGTGAACGACCCCTTTACAACACAGTACTATCTATCCCGCTGCTGTCGGACAGTTTAATCAGAATGAGCCACGCGGCGCTTCGCATGAACTCTCACCTGTGTCCCCTTCCCCGCACCGGGTGGGCCGAGCAGAATGGCTCGAATGCCTTTCCTTACACCGGAGATGGTATCATCCGCTTGCGTGCTGGGGGCCATGGTTACAGGTTGTAAACGAACTAAAGACACTTCTCTCCACTCCACACTTCGCGTCCGCAAACTCACTCAGAAAGGAAGTGGTAACGCCTCCGTTTGCTGAGTATGGACTCAAAGTCCCGCCTCCCAGCACAAGGCCACCCATCTGATTGGCCAATGGCACGCCGTTTATCCACAGCGCGAGCTCATTGGATAAAATCGAATGCCTCCGTATCGTCTAAATCCGGGATTTGGCCTGAAAGTGACACATCGCGCATCAAGGAGATGTTAAAGTTTAGATAAGGCAAAACAAGATATCCGTATCTAAAATGACATATTAATATTTACATCACACTGTACAAAGGTTGTCATTCAGCTTTTGTTCTTCCGACTTTAACTTTATATTAACCACAGACCATAATTTAGAAGTACCGTCCTGGCCACCCTAAAATGAATTTAACGAACTTTGTACTTTTTTCAATAGTTTAATATCTATAATTTTAAACGATCTATCATTTTATTATAATTTCTGGATCTTACTTTTTTTTATAATTTTTTATTATAAATAGTATTAGCATTATTTATAAATATTTTGAATAATCTGGTATCTTTATATTTTCACTTTTCATTTTAATGTTAAGGTAATGTTTTGCTTTATACTTGTTTAGCTTTTATTTATTTTTTATTTCAGCTTTAGTAATTATAGTACTTTTACTATACTATAGTGCTATAGACTTTAATTTCAGTTAGTTGACTAGATATTAGTGTTGTAGTCAAGACCACCTAAACTGAGACCAAGACCAAACCAGCACTTAATCTGAAAGATCCGCATTTACTGCCTGTAAATGTCTTATATTTAATCAATAATTAGAATAATAGGACACTATAGACCTGTTACCAATCAAATGAAATTACTAACAACAAAATTCATCTTTGCACTGCAGAAGCGGCACAGAAGTAGCATCTGAATTGGTACAATTACAACTGCATAAATATTGTTGAGATTAATGTTCCGTGGTTCAGTGGTAGAGCATTGCGTTAGCAGCGCAAAAGGTCGTGGGTTCAATTCCCAGGGAACACACATACTGGTAAAAAATGTATAGCATGAATGCACTGTAAGTGGCTTTGGATAAAAGCGTCTGCTAAATGGAAAAATAAAATGATACTTTTAAATATTACATTAAAACTGCCAGTAGGCTAAGTGGCGGCTTGTGTTCTGCAGTGAGGGGCTACTGGGCAAATCACTTAATGAGTGAGTGAGAATCATTTATTCAACCGATTCGCTCAAAGCAGCCGATTCATTCTGTAACGAAATACAGCTTTGAGTGTCTCAGAAACGCACAACAGATCTGCTATGGATTTGTTTGTTACTATTTTCGTTGACGAAATAGCAAAAACTTGAGTTTAAAATGTAATTCACTTAATAGTACCTTTTTTTTGTTGAACGTTTGTATAAAATCAATGTTTTCAATCTTGCTCATATTCGCGAAAACAGCTCTATTGTTCTTGTGATATTAATTATACCATGCGTTATAATATAAAAAGATCTCATACAAGTTCTTTTCCTGCAATCATATTTTGATTTTTTGGGGCATTTGTAATAATTTTAGTGAATTTTTTTACTATTCCCCATTAAATTACTGCACAAGCACAACAGTATAAAAAAATAATTTAGAAATAAGGTATTAATTGCATTTGAAGCAGGAATGTTTACATCCAGTCACATTGATGATGTTAACAAATAAATCAGACAATGCATGGGCAATTTAGTGATATCCCCACAGTTGTGGTCTTGAAATAAAATCCTGGGTCATCGGAGTCCGAGACCAAGACAAGAGAAGACCTTCAAAAATGGTCAAGTACTACACTACGAGGCATTTCTAATTATAAGTGTTTAAGTTCTTCATCTAATAGCTATATTTTATTTTAGATTTATTTTAACGAACAAAAACTATTTTAAATGGTTTGAACAATTACACTGTATTCAATTAAAGCAATAAGCCCCGTGAAGCCGTGGTTTACAGTGAATTTATAACAGCTAAGGGGCATGGTTACAACCCCCTTAGCTGTTATAAATTCACTGTAAACCATGGCTTGACGGGGCTTATTGCTTTTATAAAACGGTTAGTCCATATACGTAGTAAGGTTTCAAAAAATAAAACAGAGCAAATAAAGTGTAACGATATTAATAAAAACATTATTCTTCCGCCAAACAATGTAGGTCCTCAGAAACAGTTGTGGTTCCAACAAAGTGGTTGCAGAGCAACACACAAATGTAAACAAAGGTGTATGATTGTAGAGTAATTTACAACAGCTTCGAATGCGGCTCAACCAATCAGAATCAAGGACCGGAACTATCCGTTTTATAAGACATTTTATTCGTAAGTCATGAAAATGCCTTTAAGTAACAAGACTTTAGCATGTTACTTACTGTATCATACAGTAATAGTAATACTAAACATTCCTAGTCTAGCTAAACACATTGAGAAGATATAAGGCAGTTAAACAAAAAACATTAAAAAACTGATGACATGTTGTCAAAAGCTTATTTTATTGAAACTGCAGCTCTGTGATACATGGAAGCCACATTTGGAGTGTTTAAGATAACATAACACACAAAACAGCCATAACACTAAAGTGCCTTAAGATTGCTACAGTAGTAGGTGCTGAATTTTGGTATTGTGTATGAAATGGTTAAGAAATTAGTCTCAGTCAAGACAATGACATTTAGTGTAAATTTAAGCGTTGTAAGTGTCACTTATTCAAACACACATTTGGATATAGGTAAATGAATCTAAATTTAGTTAGAATCATTTAAAAAGTTATAAAATGTTCATTTAAAAGTTACAAAGCAAACATAAAAATATATGTAGAGAGCTTAGAAAATAGGGAATATGCATGATACATATTTCAACTCAGAATTATTGTGAAGTCATCTGGATCAAGCAAAGAATAAAAAACATGTCTTAGACCATTTTCCTTTTCAATAAAAAAGGGAAATTTCTATAGAAAATATCAATTACATTTGTATTCTTTTGAAGGCACATATACCTCATCAGTGTTATTGCAGAAACTGAGCTGAAAAGAGCTTTGGTGACAGGGAAAGGTGTCATTTTTTTAAAAATTGTATGCATTTTTTCAGCCACAGAAAGACCAACATTGGCCATAAATGTCCAAAAAAGGAGAGAAAAAAAAGCCCATTCCCTTTCATTATCCAAGTGAGCTCCCCACTGTTTACTTAAAGAAAATGATATATAAATATAAATTTCATAACTCTAATCTAACCAAACCCCCCAAAAAATAAAATTCTGATTCCTGGAACAGATGAGCAAAAATTTAAGTCATCCCTATAACAGTAAATATACAGATATAAAAACAGATCATGGGTTTTGGCAGTCCTTAATATGAAAATGAAATTTGTCACCACAAAGTACTGACATTAAATGTGTCGTTCATTTAAGGATTCAGGACATTGCCTCCTGTCTTGCTTGATGAATATTCTGAGAAATCTGACTACAGCAGGTATCTCAGCAGACAGCAGTCATGCAAAAGACATTTATACATATAAAAATTGACAGTCTAACAAAGCAAACACACTTTCATTAGTCTTCAAACAATCCTTGCTAAATTACAGACAAAAGTATCAAAAACATACCTGAAAACCCTTGTAAGGCAAAGCATTTTGTCCTTTAATTGAAATGTCTCTTAATTTATGGCTTTATTGAATTTTTTTTAATTTTTTTTACTTTCGTCAAATTTCTAACAACAAACTTGTAAAATGTATCTGTAAACACTGTGTAACTATGATGCCATATTGCACTTCCAAATCTGACATATACACAGTCAATGTGAAAGTCAGACTAGGATACTTTTGGCCCTTGGTGCCCGATGAGAGCAGCCTTACATGGGTTTATAGCATGAATCTGGCTGCCACATGCGCAGGTCTACCAAGATCTGGTTCAGCTTCTGCATCCACAGATTCCTCTCATCCTTAGTGTCGGCACTCAGCCAGTTCCTGCACATTACAAAGGGAAGTTCTGATTAGGACTTGAACTTCTCCATCAACGCACATGAATTGACATTGTTAATTGGGTCTTACTTTGTAACACACAGAGTGTCCTTGCACTGGCTGACCAGGGTCTCTCTGTCATCCTCCCTCTGTGGTCTCACAGTGATGAGCTCAAAGGTATTGGGCCGGGCACAGAACTCTCTGTTTGCCGGCTCCACTTTACGACTCGTACAGTTGGCAAGGTTAACGCGACCAATTGGATTCTGTGGGAAGAAGAATAACCTGTTAATTTTAATTAAGTGCATCTTAAAAATTAACAAAATTATAGTAGGCCTACCTTTCGTTTTTCATCATCAGGGTAGGTCCAAAAAGAGATGCAGTATCCTGAAAGGACACACCACCTCCTGTGCCAGGCTCCAAATCCACTGACATCCTCAAACATAGTCTGCAAATAAGAGACACCTTCACTAGCATCACACAAAACCGTCTTAGTATAAAAAGAAAGTGTTTAACAATGACTTCATGTTACTGATCTAGTTTTTCTAGCAATGCCTGGATATTTACTGGAAGGATAAGAAAAACTTATGTTCTAGCATTCTGCACTTTCAGTATAAAGACTCACCAGGAAGCCTCTTTCTTCTATCCGTGAGCCAACCTCGCACTGCATTTTCAGGTAAACGTGCCCCTCCAAAGGACAAAGGAAAGGTACCTGTAGCAAAACAGGACACTAAGGGCTGGAAGACAGACATATCCAAGAGAAGTATCGTTTACAGCAAGAGGGAGCCATAAATGCAGAAGCTACACATTTGCCTGAAGGAGTAACGAAAACAACTAGTATACACCCAAATACAAAGGCATTGATGTGCACACAAATTCAAACAATCGGCTTAAAGTGACCGTTAGTATCAAAGAAAAGACACCAAGCCTGGTTAGCCAAATACTCATACACACAACAACCCGTGTTACTAAACACAGAGCAAATATAGCAACCTTTTTGTGAAACATGTCACTGAGCAGCTCTCTTTCAACCCCTTCATATTTGATCTAAAAGAGAGAAATGACTGCATGTGAAAGAGTCTGGGATAAGCAAACGGCAGCACTGTGCAAGAAAAACAAGAGTAGTGTTAAAACTGTATTAAGCTGGTGTGAACACTAGTGCTGTGGTTAAACCTCGCTCTCTCTCTGATGTTAGCAAGCAACAGAGGGTATGCACTGACGTCACCTTCATGACAGAACACGCCCACACTCAAGTGGCAAAACACCCTGCAACTTGGCTGGACTCAGTGATCCACATCTTACAAAAAAAACTAACAAAAAATGGACATTGACATGTGGCCAAGTATAGGGTTTCCTGACATTTAGATTTACCCAATATGGATGCCAAAGAACTAAGCAAAGCTATACAAATCCTTCACACTTGATCTTCTAGACCAGTGGTCACCAACCTTTTTAGGCCCAAGATCCCTGACCTCGGCCTTTATGAAAGACAAGATCTACCTATTGAAGAATTGATAGAAAAAGACATCCCAGATTGTACTTCAAATTTGAGGCCTTTTACTTAGTATTTTAACTGGCACTGCATTTTCAGGTATATGTGCCCCTCCAAAGGACAAAGGAAAGGTACCTGTAGCAAAACAGGACACTAAGGGCTGGAAGACAGACATATCCAAGAGAAGTATCGTTTACAGCAAGAGGGAGCCATAAATGCAGAAGCTACACATTTGCCTGAAGGAGTAACGAAAACAACTAGTATACACCCAAATACAAAGGCATTGATGTGCACACAAATTCAAACAATCGGCTTAAAGTGACCGTTAGTATCAAAGAAAAGACACCAAGCCTGGTTAGCCAAATACTCATACACACAACAACCCGTGTTACTAAACACAGAGCAAATATAGCAACCTTTTTGTGAAACATGTCACTGAGCAGCTCTCTTTCAACCCCTTCATATTTGATCTAAAAGAGAGAAATGACTGCATGTGAAAGAGTCTGGGATAAGCAAACGGCAGCACTGTGCAAGAAAAACAAGAGTAGTGTTAAAACTGTATTAAGCTGGTGTGAACACTAGTGCTGTGGTTAAACCTCGCTCTCTCTCTGATGTTAGCAAGCAACAGAGGGTATGCACTGACGTCACCTTCATGACAGAACACGCCCACACTCAAGTGGCAAAACACCCTGCAACTTGGCTGGACTCAGTGATCCACATCTTACAAAAAAAACTAACAAAAAATGGACATTGACATGTGGCCAAGTATAGGGTTTCCTGACATTTAGATTTACCCAATATGGATGCCAAAGAACTAAGCAAAGCTATACAAATCCTTCACACTTGATCTTCTAGACCAGTGGTCACCAACCTTTTTAGGCCCAAGATCCCTGACCTCGGCCTTTATGAAAGACAAGATCTACCTATTGAAGAATTGATAGAAAAAGACATCCCAGATTGTACTTCAAATTTGAGGCCTTTTACTTAGTATTTTAATTAGTGATGCACCGATCATAGCCGATTCAGAATTCAGATTTTCTTTTCGTTAAAACTGTATTAAGCTGGTGTGAACACTAGTGCTGTGGTTAAACCTCGCTCTCTCTCTGATGTTAGCAAGCAACAGAGGGTATGCATTGACGTCACCTTCATGACAGAACACGACCACACTCAGTGGCAAAACACCCTGCAACTTGGCTGGACTCAGTGATCCACATCTTACAAAAAAAACTAACAAAAAATGGACATTGACATGTGGCCAAGTATAGGGTTTCCTGACATTTAGATTTACCCAATATGGATGCCAAAGAACTAAGCAAAGCTATACAAATCCTTCACACTTGATCTTCTAGACCAGTGGTCACCAACCTTTTTAGGCCCAAGATCCCTGACCTCGGCCTTTATGAAAGACAAGATCTACCTATTGAAGAATTGATAGCGATCGACGGGTTGGAGACCACTGTTCTAGACAATGCTATAAATACAATACAGCTAACCTTAGATCTAAATCTGGACGATCACTTACATGATTGTTATATATTGTCATTTCACCCAACTATAAAACTTGTTAAAGGCATTACAGAAATAACATTAGGAGTTTCTGTAAAGCTGCTTTTTTGTATTAATTTGTGAAGCGCTGTATTGTGCAAAAATCAAAGTGATGAGAACACCAAAGGATATTCTGGTTGTTTCAATATATTTAGTAAACACTTTTATCTGCACAACTGTCAGATGATACAGAGTTCAGCAATGTAAATCTAGTTAAGAACTCCACTGATTGTATCAGTCGCATTCAAGTTGAACACCACGTTATGTTGCTACAGTCTTTCTGCCACTCACTGGGCGCAACCGCAGTGACTTACACCTACTGTGACGTCATGTGCATACCCTCTATACATCCAGTGCATTTCGCCAGGTGATGGTGTTAGTATCGTTTGATTTGTGGAACAGTTATGATGATATAGAGATAGACGCAAAGGCAGGAATGTACCTTCTCCAGCAGGAAGTTGTTTTTCCCAATAGAGGCTAGAGTTAGCTTGTGTGATCCTACAAGTACAAAGCTACTGGTGCGCACTGCGTTTGGACCACCGGGGCTAGCCACAACTGAAAATGAAGAAACTAATTTAACAAACAAACAAATTGAAAATGTTAGTTGAACTGAAATGCTTTTAAAAGCTCATTAATACTCACCAGGTGTTTGGAGGTTGCTCTTCTATAATACATAAATGGAGAGGACAAAAAAAAGTACCAGAACTTTACATGTTTATATTGTTTATAACGAATTAATGTTAAAGTACTGTATTACATATACAATATTACATTACAAATGAGAAATCATGCAAGAGGTTCTGCATAATAAAACCTCAAACCAAGATCAAAGTCAGGGTGTGGATTTTTTCCCAGAGGAAGAATGAATTTGGCCTTAAAAACAGATTTTTGATCATTTTGCAGCAGTCTACAGGTTTCACTGATTATTGATAAATGTGTTTACAACATGAGTTAGTTTTTCCATTTTCTTTTGAGCATCATTTTCATCTGGACATAAAGACAGAGTGTCTTTATATAATAACAGTGTAACTGTAGTGATATATGGAATAATGATTCTGAGACCTTCAGAAATCATTCTAATATGCTAATTTGGTACTCAAGAAACATTTCTTATTATCATCAGTGTTGAAAACAACTGTGCTGCTTAATATTTTTGTGGAACCCCTAATACAGTTTTTTTATGATTCATTGATTAATAGAAAAAAAGAAAGAAAAAAAAAACGAACAGCTTTTTGTAATTGTAAAATGTCACTTTTACAATGTTACAGATTCACCTTTGATCAATTTAGTGTATACATGCTGAATAAAACTAGAGAAAAAAAATTCACCCCTTTTGACCAGTAGTGTGTGTTGAAGTTTAAGCGAACAGACTACTTACAGAGATAGCAAGGAACCTTTTTGGTGTGATAGCCTGTAGAGATAAAATTTTATTTCAGAGTAAAATACAGTGAACAATAAATATAACAGCTTATTATACACAAACACAGCACTGCTGAGTACTACGGAGACAAAAGGTCTTTTTAGTTAAGGAATGAATAAAAAATACCCTTCACCGTGCACTTTGTTCAGACTGACAATTCTACACATTAAAAACACTTGCTTAAAATCTAAGAAACATTTCTTATTATCATCAGTGTTGAAAACAACTGTGCTGCTTAATATTTTTGTGGAACCCCTAATACAGTTTTTTTATGATTCATTGATTAATAGAAAAAAAGAAAAAAAAACCGAACAGCTTTTTGTAACATTGTAAAATGTCACTTTTACAATGTTACAGATTCACCTTTGATCAATTTAGTGTATACTTGCTGAATAAAACTATAGAAAAAAAAATTCACCCCTTTTGACCAGTAGTGTGTGTTGAAGTTTAAGCGAACAGACTACTTACAGAGATAGCAAGGAACCTTTTTGGTGTGATAGCCTGTAGAGATAAAATTTTATTTCAGAGTAAAATACAGTGAACAATACTTATAACAGCTTATTATACACAAACACAGCACTGCTGAGTACTACGGAGACAAAAGGTCTTTTTAGTTAAGGAATGAATAAAAAATACCCTTCACCGTGCACTTTGTTCAGACTGACAATTCTACACATTAAAAACACTTGCTTAAAATCTAACCAACTGCTTGCACACCAGCAAGTGATATTTTGAAACAAACCATACCAACAAGCATGCTTCCATGTCATGGAAATGCCTCAGGAGAATCTGGACACACTGATTGCTGCTCTTTAGATTAGCCATTCATTAAAACTTAGTAAGCTGTTAGTGTTACACACTTACACTTCCTTGTATACTGAATCATTTTAATGTATTACGTCTAAGACTAAGAGTCTACCTTTGACTTGTTGGGCTTTTTCCTCTTGTCAGGGTTCAGCTCCCGTTTCTGAACCTAAGAGAAAAACTAACTTTTACTAAATCTCTTTTATAAAGGTTTAATTTGCATTCAAAAGGCATGCATTTCACTTGAAAGCAAATTAAAAAGCTGTACTTACAAAACAGTACACCTCAATATCAATCTCAAAGTCATTAGAGACATCAGACCTGCACATCAAGCAATATATTAATATGATAAACACTACACTGAGGTGATAGGGATGTCAAGAGTGGCTTGATGGGAAATGACACTTACAAAGTGAATTTGGTGGAGAAGGTCAAAGCATCGCCACTTAGACCAGTGCGTGTGCTTGCAAGAGGAGTCGCCACGGTGTTCTCAGCTCCAGCACGGATCATCACAAAGAAGTAATGGTTTCCACATTCTTACGTGAAAATTACGACATGAGTGAATTTCTGATTGGACATGAAGGTGCCAAACAAGAAGTATCTATATATAAATACAGAAGCATTCTCACCAGGCTTGTTGGCAGAAGAACAGATAAAGTCAGCCTTCAGAGGGAGCCGCAGCTCCAGCAGTGAGATGGACCCTTTAGAAGCAGGTAAACCCATATCCACCTGGGCACTGCTTGTGCTTTTCTTCTGGGCTGTTGGACCTTCTGCTTTTAACTGGTCCAAATCAGCCTTCAGGGCGGCCCTCCTTTCGGCTGAGGTCGAACAAAAGTAGTCATTACTCCAAGTTTAAGAAATAATTCTGATATTCACCCGTGTAGTGCAAAAAGGAAAGTTATCACTTACTGGCAATAAGCAGCAGTCTCTCAGCCTCAGCCTCCACTTGAGATCCTTTCCCATGTTCTTCATCTGTGCAGCAGTTGAGAGCCTGACTAGCCTGATGGATCACTGTCTGCTGCAGGTTCATCTCATTGGTCAACATCTGAGAGCACAACATGGCATCATAAACTCACTTCAGATCAAAGACAGTTCACTCACATTACTATGAATAGGAGAAACTGCAATGCGCAACAGGGCAAAATAAGTCCCATCTTCTAATTAAAAGAGCCAGTTGCCAATTGTTAAAGTCACTGCAGATGTTGTTAGAAGGTCTAGTTCCCATAGAGCCCTGTGACTCATTTGTGACTGCACATGCACACTGACAGGACCACCCTGAAATACACACTTTTGTGACGCCACTGGAGCATAAGAAACAACATTTATGGAACAGTTAATGTCAGATTTTATTGCTAATTTACTGTTAGTGTTATTTCAAGTCCATTTGCATTTCTAAATGTGGCAAGTCACTAAGCTAACAGGTGCCAGCACATAAAATATATACATTGCATACATTCTTCCATATATAGAAAAATATATCTTAATTTAATTTATACATTTCTCCTGCTATAGCTTGTTTTCATAATCTAGCTTTCTAATAAATCTGGCATTGTATACTACAAATATTGTTTGGCTCTGTGACGAATTGCTTATGTTCCACTATTTTAAATTGACTTCAGATAAAAGTGTCTGCTATACCCATAAATGTAAATATAAGGCATACATTACTCATTGCTAAAAAGTAAATGCATGATTTTAATTGACAGGGCCTAAAATAATAATAATAATAACAATTGAACATTTTTGAACAGACCTTCATTTTCTGCTTGATGTTGATGTGACTGGGGCTCCCATTGGTCTCCATTCTCTGAGACACATCCTCTTTCCTCACGATCACCTGTTTAACATGAGGTCTCTCTGACTCTGTCTTAACCCTTGTGGATCTGTAGGCATCAATGCTGAAATCAAACACAACCATGCATTAAATGCAAATCATACTCAACCAATCAGTTTGAATGTTGCTTTGAAAAGAGTCAATGATCAGATGCGCACCTGTAGAGAAGGTTCTGGTTTTGCTGCTCATCTATGACATTGATGCCGTCAGATGATCCAGCTCGTAACATGCGTGTCCTTTGGAACTTACTGGGCCTGGATACACTCTCAGGGGTGGAACTCTTCTCAATAAATGAGCTGGCAGGAGTCGATGTCTGGACCAAAATAAAAAAGTGAAACTGAGATGTATTCAGCATCATCACTGTTTAGCTAATGACTTACATCCTCAGGGCTCACCATAGGCTTTCTTTCTGGGCTCTTGACCACAGCTGCTACCGTCTCTGCAAGTGGAGCAAGGAGAGACATGGAGGAGATATTCAGAGCATCTTCTTCTGCATCCTCCTCATCACTTTTCTCCTTGCTCTCCTCCAGGACTCCATCAAACAGCTCATTTATCACCTCAGAGTTAACGGAACCATCCACGTTCATCTCAATCTCATGCACTTCATCTACTTCTACAATGTCAACAAGAACGTTCATTATCAAAAACATGTAATGGGAATTAGTGATATACGGTTTCAAAATATATTCATCATGATTTTGGTGGTAATAAAATTCAGAACAATTGTGAATATCATAATGAAAGTTCAAGAGATAATACAAAGTATAATTAATTGATACACAATAGATATTCAATATACAAGATACATAATTATTATTTTAAAAAGGCTAAATAACATCTAGATATGATCACCCAGCCCTACATATACAACAAAAAAGCAAAAAATATTTTATTAGTCTGGTCTTTTGTCACTAAAGAGTGCGAAACAAAACATTTTAAATTGTTAAAGCAAATAACACCTCAATATGAAGAAAGCAAACAGTCTATAGTACAACTGATTTTTTCCCCCATACCTTTTACTTCCTCTTGCTCTTTCACTATAGGAATCTCTTCTTTAAATTCAACTTCCTTTGCAGGGCTTGGAAGAGCACACTCCTTCTCTAAAAGATGAAAATCTGTTTAACTACTCATATTCCAATAAACGTAAGGACCACTATAATGTTACTGTGAATAAAACGACATGAAAATGCAGCATATGGCAGATATGGCTAATTAACATAACTGAACAGAACAAAGAAAAATAACAGTGGAATGATGCTTTAGATCAGTGGTTCCCAACCCTGGTCCTGGAGGCACCTCAACACTGCACGTTTTGCATGTCTCCTTAATCAAACACACCTGATTCAGGTCATCAGCTCATTAGTAGAGACTCCAAGACCTGAAATTGGTGTGTCAGAGAAAGGAGACATGCAAAATGTGCAGTGCTGGGGTGCCTCCAGGACCAGGGTTGGGAACCACTGCTTTAGATTAGAAGAACACATTTAACTATATTATATGGTTTTTTAAATAAAATACCTTTTTCACTATATTTAGAAGGGCTGTTGAGTACTTCAGGCACTGGCGTAGAAGGCTCATAATCATGCACTGGCACAGAAGTCTGACTCTGTACAGACAGTTCAATTTCCTGAGGATAAAAAAACGGTTACATTAAGTAACATTCGTAATGTTCAATGTTTCAAGTTCTTTGGCTTCCCATTCCTTTCATAAAATTAAGTACTGGGTTTATAAAAGAGGCACAACAGACTTTAGAAAAATGAATAGTTCAAATCAAAGTCATCATTTATATTGGTATATTTCTCTTCAGTATCAATGTGATTAGTATTAGTAGCTTATTTTATTTGGGTTTGTCATGTCAGCTAAATGCAAAAATAAATAAATAAATATAAAATACAAAGAAAAGACAAATAAACTAAAATATAATTAAAAAGAGATAAGACAAAAAGATTGTGATATATATATATATATATATATAAAAGGAAAATGCTGCTTTCCTTCCTCTGTGGATTTCATATTGCTAAAACAGATTTTTCACACTATATATTATAGAAAAATATGGACTATCAATCAGATTGTGTAGCACTGTCCTATCTACATGCAGCAGCAGAAAACACGATAGCAAACCTTGTTTTCAGGGTCATTCTTGACCTTACTAAGATCCTCTTTGCTCCTCAACATGTTGCCTTTTTGAAATCGATTATGAATTTGTGCCAGTTCTGCCTCTCGCTCCTATTGATAAATAAATAAAAGATTAGTGCTGATGTTTCATATGCAATTCAACAAATATACCCTTTAATTAGTTAAGAGAATACATGCCATTTTCTGCTTCTGAGTAAGGACAGCTGTGGTAGAGGTGGCCTGGGCGCACCCCAGCCTCTCCTGGAGTAGCCTGGACTTGGGGGTGGCAGAGGGAGTAGCCCTAGAGAATAGTAGAGAATTCTGGTTGCGCTCCTGGCACCTTTCTCCAAAAATGACTTGACCCCTACTAAAAGGTCAACATAAGCAAACATAAGTTCACAGATGTACACTTCAATGTAGAAAAAAAAAATGAGCAGAAGAACTCTACTGACCAGTAGTTCCAGCTAGGTCTCTGTGCTGTATGAGTGTCGTGTGACTCGTGTCCTTGGTAAATCTCTCACGACTCTGATGTATGACAGTAACATCAGCAGTAGAAGAGGGTTTAGGTGTCAAAATTGGTTTTGCAGGGCTTGAATTAAGTGCTGCTCCAGAATTCAACTTAGATGGGCCCTGGTTCTTCAGGGGGCTCTGAGAGACATAACCTCTGTGGGGACTGGAGGAAGATGCTTTCAAAGATTTAAGTGGACTGGAGGGCTGAGTGGAGGAGTAAATCTTCAGTGGGCTGGAAACAGGAGAGGGATCTGCTTGAGCCAGTCTGGACTGAGGAAACTCGGTCTTCTGAGGACTAGGTGGAACCACTCTGGTTGACTTGACTGGAGAATAATACATAATAAAAAGGATAGAACAGAATCTGTTTTTGGCTTGACCCACCTGCTGACCGCTGTCAACAGACTTGTGTTGAGCTGGTTGGGCAGTCTGAGGTCGTTCCACAGCAGGACTTGGCTTGGAACTGTTGCTCGTCACTGTACTTACTGGTGGGCACACACAGGCCGTGCCAGGCTGTGGTTGTGCATTGTCCCGGGGAGGCGGCAGGTGTCCAAGGGCATCTTCCCAGGAACCAATTGTGGCAGCAAGGTTTGCCAGTCTACCCTTTCTTCCAACGGGGAGCTCAGAGTTTGTTGGAGTAGCAGGAGGGAGATCCACTTTGTGAGACTTCAGAGGAGATAAAACTACACTCTCTGGGATTGTTTCTGAGGTCCCTGAAAGCACAATTTTATGTTTAATACATAGTTAGATGCTTATTCATCACCCCAAGAGTCATATTATTAACTCCGATCACATATTGTCTATATTTTTGTCTTCTGGAGGACCTTAAATGTGTACTTGCACTTGATGTTAAAAACTAAAAACAGTACAATTTCAATAATTTGAAAGAGTGGTCAACAGGTTTTACAGTACTCGTCTATTTTAATTAAATGATACTCTTATTTATAATATTTTATTTCTTCAGAATATATAAAAACAGGAAATGTGGATTTTGAAATTCTGACTTCCATTAAAGGCTAGTGGTCAACTTATACAGCTTTTTTAATGGTTGATGGCAATATCTTAGAGAGCAGGGTAGCCAATGGACGATATAGAGCTGATGCATTTGATATCACACAATTCAATATTCAATAATACATTCATAACAATTACTGTAATTTGGAGAAGTTTGCTTATTTTCTGCCATGTTATATTTAAAAAGTATAGTATTTGCCTTTCTATTATTCTATTTCAGAACAGAAAAGCCAGATATCAGCCCTGGTGATATATCAGTCAACCTCTATTAATGGCACAAATGGCTGATGCAGTCGCTTCAAATACAGACCATTTAATCATCCTGAACCAATATATTGGGCTTATCGCTTTTAACTCAATATAATGAATGTAACCAAGTTATGTGCATTCAAGATCTGAGAGGGAGCTGCCTACCCTCAGAGTCCCAGTACTGCCTTTGCTCAGCCAGTCTCTGTAGTCGAGATCTCATGCTGGAGATGCCTGGGGTTGGTGCATCTTTCTGTGCCTCTTTGGCTCCATCTAGAGCAGCATGCTTATCTGTGCTTTTTGCTGGAGACTGAGGAGGGCGCATTAACTTTTCAGTGTCTGAAGGAGGTCGAGTGGGCAGCACCTCTGGTTCTGGTGTACAATGAGCAGACCTTTGCTCCATGGGCATGGGACGAGCACTGCTTGGCACCAGGGGTGGCTTCTTGTCCGTCATGGGCTCAGAGGCGGTCACATGCGGGGCCACTGGTTGTTTGTTTTCTTCTTCAGAAAGGAGAGCATTTTCATCTGAACAGCGACGCTTTGAGGGGGATGGGTTGGAAGAGGGAAGTGCTGTCCAAAAAGAAGAAAAACTTATTTAGGCTATAGAAGGAAAGTAATGAAACATCTAATGTTCATATGTCAATACAGGCATGCAACAAAATAACATTTCAACAAAACTGAACCTTTTTCAATGGTCGGCTCACTTATGACACTGTTTGTGTCTATCAGTGGCTCTCTTGTCCTTTTAGCCATTGGACGGTTGGCCGCCGTTGGTCTCTCCGCCATCTTCCTCTGCAGATTTTCTCTACGAGCACGTGTGCGCTCTAACAGTTTCTGAGTGAGCAAAATGACAAATTAGCATTGCAAAGTGCTCATTACATCACTAAGGCCTAAAGAGAAACAGATCTCTTAAAACACAATGTTTCAGTTCCTTTTTGCATGCATGGGCCCCATTTATCAGCGCGGCTCATCTTCTGAGTGTGAACAAACCAGTGGCTCATTCTAGCAGAACATCTCACACTCATGATTAACAGCCTTGTTACTGAGCAAGACCAAACACATTCCTGCAGTGTGGCTGTTGGTTGGCCACCTCCCAGGGAATGAGTGGAAATTTCAGTTAGTGAGGATTTCATGTCCATGCCATGGAATTTTGTCATGTGACCCAGCAGATGACTCCTATTGGCTACAGTCAAACCAGGCTTCCTGTATTCAACCAGCCACAAGTTATGGGCACAGCCCTGACAGCTTTTGCCCCCTCTATTCAAGTCTGATATTTAGATGGAGAAAGAGATTAAATTCAAATATAATAAGGACTGAAAGTACACTCCTTATTCAGGACCTACTTTGCATTTTGACACAAAAACGTTTAAAAAAACAACGGGCACCACTGATATTTACGGTCAGTTAAGCGCTGTAGATATAGAAATACAAAACAGACAAAACAATAAGATGTACTGGATGTTAAGAGATTTGAAATCACACACACATAACAGAATTTTTTTTTAAAAGGCAAGTATGACTGGCCCCAAAAACAATAAAAAAAGAAGAACAAATACATATCATATAATACATATTCAGCACGCTTGTTTAAATTCTGCTGAAATCTAGTAAAAGTAATGCTGGCTTTGCAAACGTTATATGCTAGATTCAAGTATCAAGTAGAGAAAAATTAGTTTTAACAAACGTTAAATGTAAATAAAAACTGCAAATCGAGATTTTATAAGCTAATACGTAAAACAATAAGTTAATTAGTAACGTCAGAAGGCAGAAATTTAATGCTATCTAAAGGTAATAGCAGCTGGTGCACAGTGGACCAGCGCTAGTTTATTTCAACACCTCCCTAATTAACTAACGATTAAATAAGCTGTCATAAAGGGCACTCACCTCCGTGAATGGGTCCATCCTGATATAGACTTAAATCAAAGCACAATCCTCTTTGTTTTTCTTCTTTATTTGTCTGATGAGGGAGTAAAAGTCTCTCCGCTCTCTCTCACGCCACACGCTCCTCAGCTGTTTTGAATTTTGAATTTAGCGCTTGCTCACTTCTCGCTGAAGCCAACGGTCGCGGACACGTCACTGCACACGAGCTACTCAGCCACGCCCACGCACTCACACCGTACAGTCTATGGTCGAGACTCGACAAAGCGCTCCCATTTAAAACCAGCGAAGGTGCACTATAGTTCAGTGAGTTTACTGATTTTTCATTATTTGCGTGTTCACTAAATCTAACAGCTCTTAGTGTTTACATTTCTAATTAAAAGTTTTTGGGTCTTTTTTTGTAGACGTTTTTGGTACTTTCTTTTGTGACACTGTTTGATGAGATTTAGGGCTATTATGTAACGTTTACGTTATAAACATAGACTGTAAAAAAACATAAACTGCATGCAGTTTGTTTAGGCCACCAGATAGTTAACATTTCATGTTCCTAACAATGTAAATCAGTTGAATAATTGTATTTTACATATGGATAAATGAAGACATCTACAAAGTGATGATTTTTTTTTATTATTATTAAATTGCAGCTGTTCAAAAGTTTGGGATCAGTAAGATTTTTAATGTGTTTTTCTGTTCATATAGCTGCATTTATTTGACCAAAAATACAGAAAAAATAGTAATATTGTAAAATATTATTACCATTTAAAATAATGGTTTTCTATTTTAATATTCTTTAAAATATAATTTATTCCTGTTATGCAAAGCTGATTTTTCATCACCATTACTCCAGTCTTCAGTGTCACATGATCCTTCAGAAATCATTCTAATATGCTGATTTATTATCAATATTGAAACAGTTGTGCTGCTTAATATTTGTTTGGAACCTGTGATACTTTTTTCAAGATTATTTGATGAATTAAATTAAACAGAACAGCATTTCATTAAAATAGAAATCTTTTCAAACAATATGTCTTTATTATCACTTTTTATCAATTTCACACACCTTGCTGAATAAAAGCATTCATTTCTTTCAAAAAAATAATAAAAATTACTGACCCCAAACTTTTGAAAGGTAGTGTATATTGTTACTAAAGATTTCTATTTTGAATAAATGCTGTTCTTTTTTAACTTTTTATTCATCAAAGAATCCTGAAAAATATTATAATCCTGAAAAATATTAAGCAGCAAAACTGTTTCAATATTGATAATAAATCAGCATATTAGAGTGATTTCTGAAGGATCATGTGACACTGAAGACTGGAGTAATGATGCTGAAAATTCAGCTTTGCATCACAGGAATAAATTATATTTTAAAGTATATTAATATAGAAAACAATTATTTTAATTTGCAATAATATTTCACAATATTACTGTATTTTCCCTGTATTTCTGATAAAATAAATGCAGATGAGCAGAAGAGACTTCTTAAACATTACAAATTTGACTGATTCCAAGTTTTGAACGGCAGTGTGTGTGTGTGTGTGTGTGTGTGTATATATATATATATATATATATATATTCATACATTTCTTTTTCATACAATTTATCAACATAAATTGGGTCTATTGAAGATTGACAGCTGATGTTACTCTCTGAAGAACATCATTAAAATTTAACAATACAAAATCAGTTGGCAGACGACTGCAGTTAAATGCTATTCTAACTTGTCATTATTCTCTAACCTCAACTACAACTGACACCTCACCAGCATGATCCAGCAGATGGCACTGCAGATAAAGACAGACCAGCCCAGACTTGTGCAATCTGGATAATCGGTATTACATCTTTGTACTACAATCACTTAAGAGACCAACACTTAAGTGCTGTGGTTTCCTATTTAATTAGATTATGCATTAGAACTCAACACCTAAATGATAAACTTAGGGGCGGTTTCCCAGACAGGGTTTAAATTAAATCTGGAGTATAGGCTTAATCTAGGATAGTTAATCATGGCTTTAAAAATGGCTTTTTGAAACACATATTAAATACAGATTAATAACTCCTGGAGTCCTGAACTAAAATAAACTAGATTAATTTAAAACCAGAATTAGCATGGCAGAGTTTGCCTGTAAAACATGGAATGAACCAAGCATATCCCCACACAAGGATAAAAAGTACTCCATGTGTACAATGAAATATACTGCTGTATCTTTAATGTTGTTGGCCTATTCGGAGGTCCGGGACATCTTGTTCAGAGAGATGGCATCATGGATTCTAGCAAACACATAAATTGACTCTGCTAGAAATCATATAATGGGCCTTGTTTGGATCTTCCATCAGGACAATGATCTAAAAAGACCATCAAAATCAACACAACAAATGGGCCACTGAGCACAAAATGAAGGTTCTGCCATGGTCATCCCAGTCCTCTGGTCGGAACCCTATAGAAAACGCAAGAGGAGAGTGTATCAACATAGACCTGGGAAACTTAAGGATCTGGATAGATAATGTACAGTATAATGGTCTCTTGTCAGGTGTTCTCCAAACTCATCAGGCATTATAGAAGAAGAGTATTAAATGAAGTAAAAGTATTAAATAAAAGGGTGCCATTAAATGTAGCCAGTGTGTATTAGAGAAAAACATTTCTTTCATAATGAGATTTCCCTTCCCTAGCATTTTACTTTTAGGGTTTTGTGAGTGTGTTTTATTATTTCTTTGGCTTCTTTGATCATATTTATTCTATATAAAGACTGAAAACAATGTTAATCTGAAGTTAAACCTGCCTCCTGGTAAGTTTAATTTAAGCCTCAATTTAGTCCTTTAGTAGCTCATTCAATTCTGGACTAGACTAAATCGAAGACTATTTAAAACCATGACAGAAAGCAGATTTCTGTTAATCTAGTTTAAAAGGCCATTTTAGGCTGCGTTTACACTGCAAGTCTTAATGCACAGATCCATCTTTTGACCATATCCGATTTTTTGGCACGTCTGTTTACATTCACTTTAGACACGACTGGTATCCGATATCTGTGTTTACAATAATTCCCACCCAAAGGGATTGTCTGCAGTGATCGCTTTACTATGCACATAGTAGACCCTCGGGTTTTAAATGGCCGTGCTATTAAAATTATTTATATAATTCACGTCGAATGGCCATTATTATTTGCCAGCATGGACAACGGCTGTCATGGATGTTTTGCAGCACAAAATCTGACTGAACGGATAAAGACCGGAAAATAACGGTAATTTTAATTTGTTAGACTATTTTATCTACAGCTCGTTAAAGGTAGAATTCTTTAGTGAAATAAAGTTTATATTTATTGAAATTAATTTGAATTAAGGGGAGAGAGAACGAACGAACGCATGCACCCACGTGCGAGTGAGCGATTGTGAAGCATTGCAAACAAGCTTGTCGGTTTAATTACAAAAACTGCTAAGTTATCACCTCATTGCTGAGAAATATATGTAGCTTTTAGCTGTTGTATTTTCAAAATTCACGGGGCGGGGGTTGAAAACCAGCTCCTGAATGTGCAATTTCTTACCTATAAAAAGTTTCCATCTCAATAAAATGCGAGCGCATACAGCACGCCGGCATTAAAAATCTTTATGAGCAAACGTGTCGCCCTCGCATTGGGAGTTCTGTGGAGAATCGGATATGTGTGTTTAGACGTAGGTCGGATGTCCAGATATCAGATGTGTATCCGATTAAAATCCACATTTGGAAGTGGCTCAGGTCGGATGCAAAAAAATCGGATCTCGTGCGGGTTTTTGTGTTTACACGTGTGCAACAAATTCCGATCTGTGTCAGATGTGAGCGAAAGATCGGATTTTTTGTGCCAGTGTAAACGCAGCCTTAGTTTAGGACTATGCTTAATCTCTGTCTGGAAAACTGCCCCATTGTGTCCTACATCTGACTCTTCATATTACAGACTCCAGTGGATTATGTCAGCAGGTGTAGAGATGGAAAATAAATAGGTCATTTCCCAACTTCTTGTGGATTTCTACCAAGTGACTGACTTAAATATTTCAAGAGTTTAGTCATCTTCCATCTGGACTATCACTCTTCACATGAGCTGTTTCCTTTATGTACACGAGTCATTGATCATTCAGGACCTTTCTGGCCAGAAAATCCTGGTGTGGAAAAGCCTCATGGAGTCAAATAAGTCATATTTGGTTTGTCTTTAAATGACTATTGAGAGTCGTACATTCTGGGTCATGTACCGTTTCAACAGACACAAACACAACTTTTTTTTTCACCTTTCTTTTTTATAGAATAGCAATTTTAAAGACTGATTGAATTATCTTTCAGTTGCAGGTGGCAGTACATGTCACTTTCGCCAAATTATCTTTCACATTATCTTCCCCCATCATTTCAGATGTTATCTTCAAGGTGGCCATAAACATCAGTCATCACGAAGTGACTCATCTACCAAGCACAATAAATAGCTAACATATTACAGGAAAGAACACACAATGAAAATAGGCCAGAATCAATTTCAATTCATTTATTTGTCTTCAAAGCAAGATGAAGAGGGGGTGTGTTTTCAAAATGGGCACTGTGATTAAAACAACAATAAAAAAACAACAATTTAAATTAAATAAACCCAGAGCTGACCAGTCTCCTGTCTCTCACTTCCTTCAGTGTGTCTGTGGGCTGAACAGTAGGGTGACGGATAAAGTGTACACATTATGTGTGGGTGTCACAGCCAGGCCAACAAGTAAAGTTTTTTACTGAGCAGCCAGCAAAAATCAGCTATAGAAAGTGAGTACCTAAGACAAGCCAAGTATCCTCCTGTATTTGAATTTGGATGTAGGACGGTCCTAAGGGTGAGGGCTTTTCTAAGCTGGACTAAATATTGCACTCCCCAGAGATAAAGATAACTAGAGAAAATAACATGGCTTCACGAAAGAAAGAAAAAAAGTGTCCTAACCCCACCCACACTCCTGACAAGACAAACTAATTATAGTGAATAAATACAGCTGACATATTTAAAACCTAAGCTAACCCTAAATTAAAAGTGATTTCAAAGGGGGCAATTGCTGCATTGGAGAGGAACGTCTTAAAAATGTTGTTTTGTGCAAAAATACTTCAGAGTTGTTTCTGTAACAAAATTGGCTATTGTGTGTGGAAATAATTACAAAAAAAAGAAAAAAAGAAAGATAAAAGG